ACCTTCAGCTCCGGGGCTGGACCGGGAACCCCAGCAGATGGTTGGAGGGAGGCAGCGGAGGATGGAGCCACCGAACCCGACCCGGTGACGTACGCCCGGACACAGTATGTTTCTCCCCGCCTGCCTTACTGTCCAGGCTACCGTCACCGGGTCTGGTTCGGTCGCTCCGTCCCCCACTGGGACCCGGTCTGGTCCAGTCAGCTGCCCAGCAGCCTTCCCCCCAGGAAAAGGGTCCTCCTTTTCAGAAACCCAAATCTGGGCCGTTTATCAGTATGCGTTCTGGAGCATTCTCGTGTACTAGTGGCATTTCATCAGCCTCAGCCAGAGCACTGACCAAGAACGCACCAAGTCCCTGGATGTTGTTCTCGCCCCTCCCTCTTTACCCAGCATGCATCAGAGCAGACTTATCCGTTCTTGAGATTGACAGCTGTCAAAGCATGCACTGCAGCAGCAGCAGCTTTCAATGGAGCGCACCATTGGAAGTTAAAAGTTCTCTTTCTGTCGTTCAATAGAAGTACGTTTTAAGATCATTTGAGGGGAATATTATACTTTAAAGCGTCACTATATGGAACATTTACAGTTTTAATGCGCGATTTAAAAAAGATTTCCAAAATAGAGAGGACTGCAGCCACCTGCAGAGCTCCAAAGCTAACGGCAGCCAGGGCTAACCTTAGCCCGTCTGCAGTAGCCAGGGCTAACCTTAGCCCGTCTGTAGCGGCCAGGGCTAACGTTAGCCCGTCTGCAGTAGCCAGGGCTAACCTTAGCCCGTCTGCAGTCTCCAGGGCTAACGGTAGCCCGTCTGTAGCGGCCAGGGCTAACGTTAGCCCGTCTGCAGCGGCCAGGGCTAACGTTGGCCCGCCTGCAGCAGCCAGGGCTAACGGTAGCCCGTCTGCAGCGGCCAGGGCTGACGTTGGCCTGTCTGCAGCAGCCAGGGCTAACCTTAGCCCGTCTGCAGCAGTCAGCGCCAGCGTTAACCTGTCTGCAGCTGACTCTGATGGCGATTTTGTTTGTTTTATTTGGCAAAATCTTTATTTGATTTGTGTTTATCTGTATTCATTATTATTCCCCCACTAAAGGAAAAAAGTCAGAACTTATTATCATCTAGAGACTATTAATAACAGGAGGTAAATGCAGCTCCAGACGAGCAGAGCGTGTGGTGATGTCATCAGTACGCTTCTGTTCCAGTTGACCTATATCTATGCTGATGCTCCCGTTCTCACCAAGTCCAGACTTTCCTGTGTTCTTGCCAAGACCGGACTTGATGAGAAGACGAGTCCGGACTTGCCTTCTCGTGAAAGGAGAAACGGCCCTGGTCACCATAGATATGCTAGCATTGCTATCAACAGCTTAGGGGCTGGTCTGGATTCTCCTGTTTTATGGTGGAAGTTTAGAAAAGTGAGATTTGCAGAGAAAGGAGGAGTTGATGGGGTTAGAACTTCTCTGTGTGTCCATTTCACCCCCTGAACTATTGTTATTCATCTGTAACCATGGAAACTCTGCATTCTATCACCCCTTTATAGTGTCTCTCACTTTCCTGGTGTTTTATTTCTCCGTTTGTTGCACAGATACTCTGATTACAGCTTTCCCATTGGCTTTGTTTTCATTCAGAGGAGATATTTTGCACTACAGGAGGGGAAAGTTTAACTGCCTCTAACATTTAACTCTGGGCTTTAGTTTTTCATGCTGTGTTATGGTTTAATGTGACTCTTCAGTACATCAGGGATGTTTTTCCCGGGTTGGTCTCAGTTTCATTGAACCTTTCTTCCATTCGTCTGGTTTAACTAGTGAAGTGTTTCCATGCTGCAGGCAGCTTTCTCTATTGGCCAATGGTTGCTTGAGCCAAAGGTTGAGTTTTAAAGACATTTTCTCTCCTTTTCCTTCCTTTTCTGTGTTGTGCAGGTCTGTGACATCATCGTCTGTCCTCTTGTTGATCTTTTTTATAGTCTTGGAAATATCTACCTGCAGTTCTATTTATGAACTGATCTTTGTCTTCCTGTTCTTTTCATCTTTAGTGTTGTCAGCTTATTAAATCTCTGACTCCTGTGTGATTTTTGGTCCATGCATCCCAGAGCCAATGACTATTTGTTGGATCTTTTTTTTATTAACCTTTATTCAACTAGAAAAAAAAAATCCCATTGAGATTAAAAACCTGTTTTTCAAGCGAGTCCTGGCCAAGAGGCAGCAAAGTTACATAAGAGACAGAGAAACATCACATTAAATGAAAGGTACATCAAATTCTTTCACTTTAACTTAAAACCATTCAAAGATTAAAACTCAGTCATCTTCCAGTTTCTCTGTCAAATATTCCCCCCAGAAGGAGCTGCGTAGCTGAAGGCTTTCTGCCCCAGTTCTGTTCGGGCAAAAGGAGCAGAGAGCAGCAGCTGATGGTGGATATAAGCGCAGGAGAAGCCGAGCTTTACTGGGGAAGGAAGGTACAAACGTTAGAGGGCAGAAAGCCACGAAGGGCCTCGGAAATAAACATGAAGCAATGACCTTCTGGTAGAGAGGGAAGGCCGTCCCACCTGAGAGGACAGGTACCAGTGATGTCATGGTCTACAGTCTGGGATGAACCTTAATGCATCATGGGAACCAGAGTCCAACATTTGAAGACATGAAGAAGAAGCATTCTGATAAAAAAGGTCACCAGAATCTAAGACTGATAAAAACGTAGCAGAGAAAACAAGCTTTTTACTCTGAAAGACAAACACGTCTTATTCCAAAAGAAGAAGCTCAGTTTTAAAATAGCAGGTCTATGATGTCAGAAGCTTTAGAAAGATCAACAAAGAGTGAAGCTCAGTCCTGTTTTTATCAAGTGTTATAATTCTATCATTAACACCTTCCCAGTAGCAGTAATTGTGCTGCTGTGTGTTTCTGAAACCTGATTGATATTTAGAAAGAATTTCATTTGAATGGAGGAACTCTTTCAATTGATCACAAACAAGAGATCCAGAACTTTAGATAAAACACATTTTAAATTGGCCTATAATTAGTAAGAACTGATGGATCGCCTCCTTTCAATAGAGGAAGGACAAAAGCAGATTCCCAATAGATGAGATGTCCTTGTTTTCAATTGAACGATTAAACCGAATGAACAGCAGCTCTGCTATGAAACCAGCTGCCAGTTTTAGGAAGTTAAGCTCAGTCCAGTCAGGTGGGGGGGGCTTTCTGTGCTCTGATGTTCTTAAAGCTTTATGTACTTTAAATTAAAAGGCTCTCAACAAAACATGGGAGATTCTGCAGAAACATTCCTGGTAGTTTTCTGTTTTAAATCAAATAGAGAACCAGATGATAAAAACTGCTGTTAAAACAAGAAGATTTTAGTTCAATCATAAACTGGGACTGATTCTTTAATTAGAAATGTTGGAAGAGTCTGAGAATTATTATTATTAAACAACAGAGATTTCAGAGGATCATTGAGGTTTCCAGTGGTGATGGACAAAAATAGTTCTGCTTCGATCTTTTTAATAAGCAAGACTGTCTTGCCTTGTCCATTGCTTTATTACACTCATTAATGCTATTTAACAGATCTGGAGAAAACTGTGGATTTTCTCGCCCCTTTACCCTGAATTTCTTCAAAGGTGAATGTTTATTTATTACTTGCATTAAAATGTAAGGATAAGGTGGACAACCATTGGAGAAGATCTGGACAAAAAGTCTGATTTCTTCATATTCTAGTGACATTAATTAAGATTTTCTATTTATGGGTATTACTCATGCTTTCACAATCATATCATTTATGTGAGTAGGAATGCTAAAATAACTGAAACATTCAGCCTCAGCACTTTTCATTGCGTAACATGTGAATGTTTTAATGTGAACAAAGGTTCCGTCTGAAAGGTGTAACATCAGACTCTGACAGATAACACACTACAGTTCAGGAACATGATTTTATTTAAAATGGACCAAATCAATTCTATTCAAATTATACTGATGGAACCTGCATCTGTAAACAGATTATTTTCCTAATCCATGTAACCTGCGATCATCCCGTGTTTCTAACAGGTGTAAGGTTGGTGAGTGACCTCAGAGCGAACAGATGATGCTGCTCATAGTGATCCTCAGCGAGCTCAGGGGGCAGAGACACACGGGACAATTCTGTCCAAGTCTGTGATTGAAGGTGTTGATGGCAGCAGCACAGCTGATATTTCTCTCCAGGATGGAGTCTCAGCCAAACAGGAACAGACCAGATGAAGCTACTATGAGAAAAAGCAGAGAGAGCAGAACGTTAGAGATTGAACTAACAGATTCTGCAGAGTGGGAGAATAGAGATAGAATGAAGCAGAATGATGAAAAAGGGGTCCCTATGTCCTCCAGCAGTCTAAGCCTATAGCAGCAGAACTATAGAGATAGAATGAACAGAATGATGAGAACGTCCCCCATGTCCTCCAGCAGTTTAAGAATCGATTCTTTCAAATTCAGTGAGTTTTGGGAATGTGCCAAATGTGAAGTTATAAAATCTTGCTTATTTTGAACATGTTGATCCATCCCAGAATGGCTATTTGGTTAAAAAGGAACATCGCTCATTCTGAGGACTGAAGGACAGAGACTGCTGCTGCATGTCTGAGCATTAATGCAGGGACGGCATAGGAAGACCTGAACAAATCTAACTCCAATATTCTCCCAATTGGTAGAATTATTGGACAGCATGGGATTAATTTCCACTGTTATGCTGATGATACCCAGCTATATCTGTCTATAATCCAGATGAAGCTAACCCATTACATAGATTACAGGCATGTCTGAAGACAGAAAAACCTGGATGACTCTTAACTTTCTGCTTCTGAATGCAGACAAAACAGAAGTTATAGTCTTTGGACCAGAGTCTCTGAAAAAGAAGTTGATTAGTCAGTCACTTCATTTGGATGGGATTAAACTGATTTCTGATAATAAAGTAAAAAATCTTGGTGTTATTTTTGATCAGGACCTGTCATTTAAATCCCAGATCAAAGAGGTTTCTAGAATTTCCTTCTTTCATCTGAGGAACATTGCAAAAATGAGCAATCTCCTGTCCAGGGGTGATGCTGAGAAACTAGTCCATGCATTTGTTACTTCAAGGCTGGACTATTGTAATTAGTCTGGTCCTAATACTCTGCTGTCCTCGCTCATGTTTTAAGCCCTGGGAAAGTTTCTGTCTGCTAACAGAACTATGAGTCTGCAGGTTTAACAGTGGTGCTCCACACCTGTCCAGGTATCTTGGCTCCGCCTACTCACAGCTGTCTGCTTGTTGTTCTGCTGCTCTCTGATAACACATTGGACCCTCTTTTTGATGGATTGGCGGACATCGTCTTCCGAGAGCGAGACATCATGGGAGTATGGGTTGTCCCAGGTGACCTGGGTACAGATTTTAACCGGTTGTCTTTCTGCGTCCCCTCAGCCCGGGTCAGCTCCGTCCGCAGAGGAACCACCATACCTGGATCCACCCTCTTTAGACCCGCCCTGTCGGGCTCCACCCTGACCGTGTTGCGGCCGTACAGCTTCCTCTCGTACCGCAGCAGCTGCTCCCAGAAACCTACGTTCAGCCGTATGAAGGGACGGCTCTCCTGGACCCAACGGTGGGCCTGGCACAGCGTCACGCCCCGGTACCGCATCAGGTACGCCATCACCAAAGCCGGAGAGCGGCTCATCCCGGCGGCGCAGTGCACCAGCGTGCCTCCTGTGTGGTTTCCATTGATACGGTCGGCCACATGGTCGAAATGGGCTTCCAGCCGCTCACAGGGCAGATCACAGACGGGGACGCGGAGACACTCCACCCCTGGGTAGGAGGGGAAGGCATGACTCAGCGTGGCATTGACAATCAAGGTGATGCCTTTCTGTGACATCAGAGCAGCGTTTAGGGGGGCATCAGCCCCACTGAGGAACAGAGTGGGCGTAACTTGTGAGAGCAACATGTAGGGACTCAGGAGTGACTTGAGTCAGTTTCAGGTCAGCTTCAGTCGAGTTTTCAATGCAGTTTCAGATGAGCTGAAGAAGGAAATGATAAAACTTTAGTTGATATGAAACAAAAATCATTCACTAACCATTGATTAAAGCTATTATTAAACATGGCCTTAGAGACACAATCATGGCGCCAGAACAGGTGACATCATGTCCCTGCTGAGACAGACGGCTGAGGACAAAGAGGAAGACCGTTCTCCATGCAGGCTACGGTAATAGGAGGTCACTAAAAGTTGCCTCTCTTCAATGTACCAGTTTGCCAAAACAATGTCGGAGAGTGATGACATGTTTAGCCGCATGTCGTCATTCAACCGCTGGTTGTCTAGGTGGTGTCCTGAAAACAACGTGGGCTACATTAATAATTGGCAATCCTTTTTTCATGACAACGGAAATCTCCATCCTGTTTCTCTTCACAGTCAGAGAAACAGGACTACACTGGAAAACAGGCCAAGCTCCAACATCTATAAACAAAGGTGTTGAATCTGGGGCTTTACCTTTCCCCACGCCTTGGTGGAGCAATGAAACTACTGATCAGTTCCAGGCAGAAGGTTTTCCCTCTTCTGCAGAAGCTAGAGCCTCTTTTTCTACTAGAGCATAACGATGATCTGTGGGAGAGAGAGAAAGACCTCCAAGCATAAGCTACTGGTCCTACTGGTCATAAGCTACTGGTTGCCAGTTGTCTTCCCAGTGATGTCAGAGAACAACACCCACTCCGAACAATGAAACATCAGATGATACCTTGGAGTCTCGATCAGGTCATACATTGCAACCACTGGGGGTGAGATTATGGCATCTCTCAGGGTGTAAATGCAAGAGTCTGGCCTTCACCCCAATAGGACCAGCTGTTTCTCTTGGACAACAGATCTCTCAGGGCCAACTATTTCTCTGCTTTCTCTGCTACATGACCAATGAACTTGCCCATCTGATTCACCTCGGTTCTGCCACATTTAATGGCTCTTTCAGTCCCATGGTGGACTCTTAGGGTCTCTGTGATGATGGGACCCAGAAATCTCACTGTGGTCTGGGATAGTTCACATTTTCAGGGTTATTCCTTCTTTTCCTGCAGGGTGGCATGGAGTCAGGCTGTTAGAAAAATGTAAATGTTATAATTGTATTTGTATTAAGTTCCAGGCATTTGGCCTGCTACGAATGTAATAAATGGTTCTCCCAAAAAGGGAAATGTTGTGCCTTATCCAGCTGTGTGGTTGCAGGTGTCTGATCACCATCGGGAATAAACCTGCACTTCCCTTTTTGTAAATGTAAACTTCTTGGGAGGGTCATGTGACCGAGAACCGTGATGGAAGCACAGTAAATAATTCTGAGGACAGTGTTTGAAACTTTCTTTCAAAACCCTTTTAAAAGCTGTAAGTAAGGCTCAAAAGATACAACATTGATATGTCTAAAGCTCCGTCTGTGAAACAGTGCGAAATTTTCTCAAAAAGACACAAGACAGCCACCAAAACAGCACCGGGTACAACGTGCGTGAAGATGCTAATATGGTTAGCATAGCTGAAGTGTTGGAAGAGCTAAAATCGCTCCGGTCAGACTTTGGAGTAAAGCTGGATAGTTTAGATGAAAGACTGACTGGAATGGCGAGCGCCATGTATGCAATGGAATCTAAAGTGTCTGAGGTTAAACAAGACCTTAATAAACCAGGCGGCTCATATGGAGGAGGCCGAGGCTCGCATTGCCGAAGTAGAAACCTCGGTTGAAAAAACAGAAACATTGTTGACTTCAGCTATGAAACGAATCAAGAATCTTGAGGCCAAAACAGACAACTTGGAAAACCGAGGAAGGCGAAAGAATCTACGTGTCTTTGGCATTCGAGAGGCAGCAGAGGGAGGAAAATCGCTTTTCGACTTTATTAGCAACATGCTACCGAAATGCCTGGAGCTAGCACCGGATAAATCATTCACATTGGAACGGGTACACCGCACACCGGCCTCCAGGAAACCAAACCAAGGCGCAGTGGTTCTGATTCACTTTTTAAAGTTCCAGGAGAAGGAATCTGTGTACCAAGAGGCAAGGAAAAGAGAAATTACATATGATGGGGCCAAAATCGTGTTTGCACAGGATCTATCTGCACAGATGGTACGGATCAGACGGGTTCCACCTGGTAGGGAAGCTGTTTGTTGATATCGGTGCTTTCCGCTGATTCCAACATAACCCCTGCAAACTTCAGATCCTCAACGGTGGAAAAATGAATCTCTTCTCAACATCTCAAGAAGCCGAAACATTTTACAAGACTCTTCCAGAATAAAAACAGCGGGTGCCTTTGATCAGTGAGTCATGAAAGACAAAATGGTTAGGAAACAGGTAAACTGATGGGAGATTTTATGTGGCTATTCCTGCTCCAATAGAGCTGATCAACAACCGGAACATAAGCAGGAGAAGTTCTAAGTTAATTGTCAGTTTATGTAAATATGCTTTTGTATACTTAAGTATCCTAATTCTAAGTCTACTTTGAACTGTTGGATAATTAATGCTGAAAGTTGAGCCTTAAATAAGTCATTACTGTTCTACCAAGGGCTAATGGTTATACTGTTTTTATAGCTGGACACTGGCTACTGTGTGGAGTTTTGGTGAGGTCACGTTGACTAGTTGCTCCTCATTAGTGTGGATCAACGTCCTCCAAACACTTAGTTCAAGGGGAGGGGGGGCATTTCAGATTGTTTATGACTAGCTCTGTGTGTTGTATGGATGATTGTGTGAATGCATGTGCAAACCTGCCTTTGCAGCTCTACCTTCACTGATTTATTTTTAGTCCAATAGTAAATTAAATAATCTGATATGGGGAGGACAATTAAGGGAAATGCTTTGAATATCAAAATCACTTGTTGGAATGTCAGAGGAATACGAAAGCTTACTAAATTAAAACAAGTATTAGACCGACTAAAATATTTTAAATCTAAAAAAGTTTTTCTACAAGAATCTAATTTGATTAAGACAGAAATACATCGAATAATGAAAAGATGGCAGGGTCAGGTATATCACTCTTCCTTTACCAGTCATGCCAGAGGAGTTATTATTCCTGGGTATAAGTCAATACCATTTCAAACTATACGGTCAATCTAAGACCCCTATGAGAGATATATCATTGTGCAGGGACATATTTCAACATTAAAATTAAATTTGATAAATATTTATGGACCTAGCAATGATAATCCATCCTTTTATGAAAATGTATTCTTAACCTTGTCAACCCTGGAGGGACTTTATATTATATTAGGAGACTTTAACTGCACCCTGAACCCAAGTCTGGATAAATCTACTCAACGTCATTCAGAAACCAGGAAAATACTCCTTAATTATATAAAAGGTTTAAGAATAAATGAAATACGGAGAACAAGGAACCCAAGCAACAGGGAATGTTCATGTTATTCAAACACACATCAGTCCCATTGATTATTGATTATTTCCTTTTCTCTGTGGAGTTACTGCCTCACGTGGAGAACTGCTGGTATGATAGTGTTTTAATTAGTGATCATGCTGCAGTGTCTCTGGAAATGAAAGTAAATAAGATTGATCAAGGGTTGAAACGATGGAGGATGCAAACACTTCTGCTAAAAGACTCGAAATTTG